GAAAGTCTTCAATCCCGGTTAAAGGAAGAGAAGGCTTACGGTGTATTTAAAAAGTGTTCTATTTTATGATTATATCAATTTTAGTTCATATTCCTTGTAACAATTATGTTTATGATTGGGCCCTTAATTAAAAATCACAAACATTTCAAATTTATTTATTTTTAAATACAACATCTAAGTAAAAATAAAATTAACAATCCATGTTTAAAATATTCAAAACATTAAGATGGACAATTAATTACACCAACTTCTAACCCCAATGGAATTTAGAAGTTCATAGTTTGAAGCTTAAACAAATACTACCTCCATCCCACTATGTTTGTCCAGTTTTGACTTTTGGAACTGTTCATCTAAGCACTTTGACTCATCAAATTTTCTCAATGTGTAAGCCTAAATATAGTCATGTGTGATCTTGTTTGATTTGTCTTAACATATAGATTATTAATATATAATTTCTATAATTTTTTAATCTACAAATTATAAGATAAAATGGATTAAAGAAGTGCATTGGATGGTGTGCAAAAATGAAAGTGGACAAACATAGTGGGATGGAGGGAGTAAATATTTATTACAATAGTAAAAATCTTACAAAATGGAAGATGTGTTCTTGAGCTCTAAATATGATAAATGATGATGAAGATGGAGTAATTTTTATGTGTTTGGATGAAGAAAATGGTGAGATATTAGTGATGGAGGAGGAGAATTTCGGATGGGAGAGAGGAGAGAAATGGGGGGTTCCAACCTCTTTGAAGAAGAGAAGGGTTGGGTTTTTATAGATGAATTCGTATATACGGAATATACACAAACAGTCCCACTGTCAACACAAGCACAGTAGCGCACATGGAATTGGGGATGATTGTTGTGTCGCGTGATCCCGTGTTTGATTCCCTCTAGTGTCGGTGTTTTGTCTTTTTTTTTTCTCTCTCAATCAATGGCCGACTTTCAGTTCAGAACATTAGCCGTGTTCGCCAGTCCTTTGCTGAATAATCAGCTTCGGCGCGATGGTCCAAGCTCCGGTTCCACATGCCGCAAGTCCAAAGTTCGAATCCCAGGGCTTTTATTTTTGTTTAATTCCTTCATTCCTTCAAATTTCTTCCATTTATTTTGGTCTCAAACATCAATGTTTATTTTCCGTCCTTGCAATTATCTTCAATGCATTCAAATGACCTCAAAATATCTGCAAAACATATAAAACCAAGCATAGGACTGCTCTACCAAAATAAAACGGAAAATTGAAATAAAATATAAATATTAAATTCAATTGGGACTCAAAACTCCTTCAAAATATGCCTAAAAAGTGTATAAAATATGTGCATATCAGGGATAATCTCCAATACCAACATCATTCTAGGCAGACCCGGATTAGAAGATTTGGAGTGCGTCATCTCACCTCGTCACCTGTGCATAAAGTTCCCAACCCCCCACGGAGTTGGAATAGCCAGGGGATCCCAGAGAGTGTCCCGGGCTTGGTATTTGAAGGCAACTAAACAGCCTATCAAGTACGACACCCAAGTGGGGGAGGTGACTGCACAGCTCTTAAGGGCCAAGGAGAAACATCCCAGAGTAGAAGTTGCAGGAGACATTGAGGAAGTTGAACTGGAGCCGGGCACGCCGGGGAGGTTTGTCAGAATTGGAAAGGGCCTGGGGGCTGAACTCAGGTGGCGAGTGATCTCAGTCCTTAGAAGGTTCAGGAAGGTCTTTGCATGGAGTCCAGCTGATATGCCAGGGCTGGATCACAAGATTGTAGTTCATCGCCTTAATGTCGTGCGAGATGCTAAACAAGTGAAGAAGAAGCGAAGGCATTTGTCGCAGGAAAGGAGAGATTTCGTGAAGAAGGTGGTAGCAACCTTGTAGAGAATTGGACATATCCGAGAGGTGCACTACCGGGATTGGTTGGCGAATGTAGTTCTGGCGCCTAAGCCTCCTTCGTGGAGAATGTGCGTCGACTACACGGATTTGAACAAGGCATGCCCAATGGATCCGTTCCCACTCCCCAACATTGACCACATGGTGGATGAGACTGCCGGATCAGAGTTAATGAGCTTCATGGACGCTTTCAGTGGCTACCATCAGATTCCGATGCACCCAGCCGATGTTGAGAAGACAAGTTTTATGACCCCTGGAGGGGCTATACTGTTACTTGGTGATGGCATTTGGACTGAGAAACTCCGGCGCAACATACACCCGGATGGTTTCACAGGTGTTCAAAGCCGTCTTAGGGCGAACTATGGAAGCCTATGTTGATGACATGATTGTCAAGTCCAAAGAGGCCCGAGACCACGTCTGGGACCTTGAAGAGGTCTTTGAAATCATGATAAAGGTAAATTTAAGATTGAATCCGAAGAAATGTACTTTTGTTGTTCAGGGTGGAAAATTCCTCGGGCACATGGTTAGCCAGAGAGAGATTGAGGCAAACCCGGAAAAAGTTAGGGTCATCATGGAGATGGAACCACCGAAGATGGCGAAGGAAGTCCAGCGGCTGACAAGGAGATTGGTGGCTTTGAATCGTTTCCTTTCAAAGCTGGCAAAGAAGGCGCACCCATTCTTTACTGTGATCAAGAAGAGGGTGACCTTCGAATGGATGCCAGAATGTCAAGAAGCATTTCAAGAATTAAAAAGATATCTGGTAAGTCTTCCGGTTTTATCCAAGCCGGAACCTGGAGATGTCCTGACTCTATACATAGCAATTGCAGATTGTGCCATCAGTACTGTGATTGTGAGGGAAGAGAATGGGGCCCAACATCCGGTCTACTAAGTCTGCAACACCTTGAGAGATGCGGAGTTAAGTTATTCCCGTCCAGAAAAGGCCATGTTAGCGGTTTTTGGACGGCGAAGAGATTAACCCCGTACTTTCAGGCTCACCGGATTGTTGTGCTCACTAATGAGCCTTTGGCGTCACTTACCCGGAGCCCGGCGGCTTCAGCTCGGATGACCAAGTGGGCGGTCTTCATCAGTCAGTACAATGTGGAGTTCAGGCTGCGTCCATCAATCAAAGGACAGGCACTCGCCGACTTTCAACTTGAGTGCACTACCAGGGAGATGACAAGAGCCCAGGCCGGGACCCAGGTGGAAGATGACTGGTGGGTGATGAGTATTGACAGATCTTCTGGATCTTGCGAAGCAAGTATTGTCTTGATCACTCAGGAAAATTTCCAGATATATTACGCCATCAGATTTCAGTTCCGCGTATCCATCAATGAAGCCAAATAAGAGACCCTGATCAATGGACTGAGAATTCTTGGCAAGCTGGGAGTGTCCAGGGTTCAAGTATACAGCAACTCCCGCTTGGTTGTGGGACAAATCACGGGGGAGTTCAAAGCAAAGGAAGAAAGGATGAAGAGGTATCGAGACTTGTCCTTGGATATGTTGGGAAGGTTCGAGTATAAGCTAGAGCACATATCCCGGGCGCAAAACGCGGAAGCTGATGTTCTGTCCAAGCTTAGCGCAGAGTCACCAGAGAATATAAGCAAATTAGAAACGGAGGAAGATTTGGCAACCCCAAGCCTTAACAGGGACGAAGTGCTCTAGGTGTCAGCCGATCCTCCGGAATGATTGGACAAGTTAGCCAGATACATTGAAGACGGTGGAGCTCCAAAGGATCCCCAAGAAGCTCGGTTGCTGCGAATGAGAGCACCCACCTACAAGGTGCAAGATGGAGTCCTTTATAAGCGGTCTAACAACGCCGTTTTGCTCCACTGTCTCAGGGCAGCAGAGGCAAAGATGCTTATGGATGAGATACACGAATGAGTATGTGCTGCACATCAGAGCCCATACTCTATCTCGAGGAGGGCGATAATCTAGGGATATTTCTGGCCAACAATGAGGAAGGATTGGGAGGAGTATGTGCGCAAATTCCCAACTTGCCAACAGTTTCCAGAATGTGCCCGGGAGACCATCCACAAACTACACACCCATCAGCTCTGTAATCCCTTTCTCAAGGTGGGGAATTGATATCGTGGGAGCCCTGCCAAGAGGGGTTGGACAGGCAAGGTGGATAGTGGTGGCCATTGACTACTTTACCAAGTGGGTGGAAGCTGAACCACTTGCCGCGATAACCGAGAGGCAGATGATAGACTTTGTGGGAACCAACATACTTTGTAGGTTTGGGGTCCCGAAACAGATCATATCTGAAAACGGAACTCAGTTTGAGGAGGCAGAGTTCCAAGACTTCGTCAAAACTTGAGGAATTCAGCATACAAAAGTGTCTGTAGCCTACCCTCAGGCTAATGGACAGGTGGAGAATGTCAACAGGACAATCATAAGTGGAATAAAAAAGAAGCTGCTTTCAGAAGGAAGCAAATGGGTGGATGAACTACCCAGAATCCTGTGGACGTACAGAACAACTCCAAGGACGGCTACGGGCGACACTCCCTTTGGCTTAGCCTATAGTTTCGAAGCCCAGGCTCCAGCTGAGACGCTGATCCCTACCAGGAGAGAAATGGAATATGAACCGGAAGAGAACGAACAGAATCAGGCCGTAGAGGTGAACTTCATAGAAGAATGAAGAGATGAAGTGCGGATCCGGGCAGAGAATTATCGTCGCCAAGTGAAATCTTACTTTGACAGTAGGGTGAAACCGAGAACGTTCCAGGTGGGGGATTACGTCCTGAGGAAGCGAGAGAAAAGTCAACCAACAAAGGGTGGGAAGCTGGCTAAGAAATACGAAGGACCTTATATCATCAAGGCCATTGTTCGCCCAGGTACCTACAAGTTGGTGACTCCAAAGGGAAAAGAAATTGATAGGACATGGAATGTAGAGCACTTGGTCAAATTTTATCTATAAAATTGTTTTGTAAAGCACTCTACTTTTGGGTTTAGGATATTTGTTTCAATAAAATTTTCTTTCCTTTAAAGCCAAGTGCCTTTGCAATTTCATTGTTCTGTAGATTTCTTCCAAAAAAGAGGGGGGAGAACACCCCCATGCGAAATAGACCCACATTACAAGGAGGTGGATAAGTTTATGCCACCTGCTAAAAATAGGGGAGGTAGATAAGTTTATATCCCCCAGAGGTAGATAAGTTTATGCCTCCGTCAAAAATGAAGGAAGGGTTGGGATTGGACTTTGAGGGCCTTTACAATCCGGAATTCAGGAAGAACAGCAAACAGACTTCGAGGGCTGAATCTTAGTATTCCACCAGCACAGATCAACTGAGCAAACAAACTTCGAGGGATGGGGCTCAACTGATCCAAGGTAAATAAGATTATGCCTTAACCCGGAGGAAAGGAGGTCAGGGGCAGATGAGGTAAGCTCCCATGGCACGTCTAAACCCCGGGAGATGAGATTTTATACAGAGAATGAAATATGTTTGTACTTGCATTAGATAAAGTGCAAAGAGATAAACATAAAGGACTACATTGATGGGCCAAAGTTTACACTTTCGGTTCATAATAATGGTTCCTAATGAGATGAAAGAAATCAGAAAATAGGGAAGTTCATCGATTGCTAATTCGAAGGTTGTATCTTTGAATTACAATGATAATTCCTAATCTGAAATTAAAGGACATTCCTTAGTATGGGACGCAGGAAAAACTCCTGGACCGAACAAGTGAATGCCTCTTGAAATAAAACAAGAAAAGGAAAATTGATTTGCAGGGGGCTAGGCACTAAAGGAGGGCCAATTGCATCCAAACATTAAACAAGAAGGAGGTGGGGCCCCCTCCATGGGCTCCTTCTCTTCGACGAGGGGCACGCGACGGAATCAGCGGCTTCCTCTATGTCATAGTCTTCCCACGTCCCAGGACGAGGAGCTGGTGCTCCCAATGAAGAACCATCATTGGGAGACTTCAGCAAGTTTGGAGAGGCTGTCCGGCTTTCACGTGAAGGTTGTGCCTCGACAATCAGAAAAGAACGCCCGAGTTTAGCCCTACGCATCCTCTGGTACAAGGCGAAGTCTTGGAGGGTCATACAGTCCCAATCTATCCTCCCGGATGGAAGCCTGGGTGGACTGGGAGGTGATGTCGCAGGAAGACGAGGTGCTAGATAAAGTCTTGAGAACTCGCCAGGACTCAACCCAGCCATGTCGTTGGATTGAGCCGGAGAGGTAGGGAAATTGTCATCTGAAGAAGAAGATGTCTCAAAAAGGGTTAAGTCGATGAAGACTTTACTTTGAGATTTATTTTCCATGGCGAGGAAATCAGAAGGGGATGGAACCAGCATTAAACTATCCTTTCCCATTTATAGTGAGAGGGGAAAGGATAGTTGGGAAGTAATGAATATGGTTAAAAGTTGATTGGGTTAAAGCTATCCTTTCCCATTTGACCAGAGTTTCGCCACTTAAGTGCATGGGCCAGTTGATTGGGCCCATCTGCGCTTTGGGAAAGATGTCATCCTTGGAAGGTAAGGAGTTAAACACATACAAACTTCTACTTCATGCAGATGGCGGCACGCACAACATAATTATATTAAATGACAGGAGATAAAGATTTTCATTAAATAGCTCAAATAGAAAATTACATTCTTTTGGGTTACAACAATGGACCTTATCCCTCATCTAACAATAAAACACTAAAGAGACGGGAGATAAAGATTTTCATTAAATAACTCAAACAGAAGATTACATTCTTTTGGGTTACAGTAATGAGCTTTGTCCCTGATCTACTTCTATCCTACTACTGGAAAAATCTGAAGGCTGGGCGAGTCGGCACTTCAGGAATCTAAGGAGAGTGCATTCGCTGACCCTTGCTGCCATGCCTGAGCCAGAAAAGGGGCCAGGAGCGGAGAGGTGTGGAGATAGCCCACTGTCCCTCTTGATGCATCATTGAAAAGAATGTGAAATGGTACCAACGGGTTGGGATTGAAAAGCATGCCCCCCGTGGACACCATCCAGCCACCCTCATGAAGACGGGCAAGGAGGACGTGGAGGCATGAGGGAAGGACTTATGGCTTATTTCCGCCTATACAGAAGGTGGAGGCGGATCCGGGATGGTTCCGTCCTTTTCCCTGCGTATAAACGGGAGCCTATTTCCCCCCATGTCATAATCCCCCCATTCCTCAGACTGCTGTCCATATAACTGTTGAGGGGAGGGAGAACCCTGGGAGGAAGGCCTTGCACCGGAGACCAACCGGGAGGCTCCTGAGTGAGGATTTCGTCTCTTCTGTGGACGGGACGTACCTGGACAGCCAGAAGAAACTCCTGTCCTGGCACCGTTAGGAAGCACGCCAGAATTTGGATGAACACCCCCTGATACTTGTTGGGGGAGATGAGGATGGTTCTCCTCCCTGGGCAAGGGAGAAGTCACCGATTGTTCAGAGGCAATGGAAGGCCCGGAAGAGAGTTCAGGTGTCAGGGCCTCAAGTGAGGGAAACGCCAAGGAAGAAGAATCAGAAGAAGAATCGGAGATAGTTAGATCAATAAAGACGACTCTGTTGGCGTTATTACCCATGTTGAGAATTTGATTGTGATGGTGAAGGGGTTCAGCCTAGCCCCTTAAATAGGCGAGTAATCTTAAGGGAGAAGTGCAAGGGACGCGGAGTCAAAGCACTTATCCGATTGGGAAGCGGTTGCGGATTCCTGAGGATAGCTAGGGTTGCACCGTTTCACCATTGGGCTGAGATGAATTGGGCCCGGCGCGTAATTAAGGTCGGCCATTCGCTTAGCTCAGTAAAAAAACAGCACTTTGTAAACATGGTTAAGCCCAAAGCCTAAGCGGATAAAAGAATTCCGCTAAGTCCTAAAGAGAGATAAGAATCCCAAAAGGAGAACAGTTAGCTTAATGGAAGGAGTCTACAAGGACGAAAATACAGCAAGCATGGTCAAATTTCTACTAGTTAAATTTTACAGAATAAAAGTTACAATTGATTTGAAAACAGGGGAATCAAGACCCCAGACTTGTACGAGAATCTGGGGGAGTAAGAGGAAGAGGCAGGCCATAGTGAGAGATGAAGTCATCCAAGGATCGGTGTTCTGGGAGGCCGCTCTAGATCGCTTCATAGATGCAGTGTTGCATATCGAACTTCCCTTCTTCGTAAAGGGCCTCAGCACGGGCAGTCATGGCAGCCATCTCCTCTTGATGAGAAGATATGGTCTTCTCAGGCTCTCCCACTCTTGACTGGAGCTCTCTAGTAGTCTGTTTCTCCTTCTCCAACTTCTGGAGGGCGAGCCGTTTCGCCCCCATCTGTTTCACCACAAGATCGCTAAAATGGGCACCCTCTTGCTTGGCATTATGGAGTGAAATCTCCAGCCCAGAGATCCGGGATTCCCTTTCAACCAGTTCAGCTTTCAGACTCCCCCCCTTTGTCTTCCAAGGCTGAGACCTTAGACTCCAGGTTGGAGATTTGTGCCCGGAGTCCATCGAACTGTACCTCCAGGTCCTGGGTGGTCCCTTGTTAGGTGGTTATCTACTCCTGCAGGGATTTAACTTTGGACCTTTCAGCTGCTAGTTCCACTGAGCCACCTGCCTTGAGCCGGGCATTCTCTTCTTGAAAGACCTAGACTTGTTGTTCCAGGGTATCAACTTTCTGTTACAGAGCCTTGGCGGCCAACTCCTTCTCCTTCAGGACCACCACGGCCCGATAATTCCCCCATGCTCCGCCCAGATATTCCTCAAGTCAGGGTGAGGAGAGATTGTTGGGCCTGGAAGCGAAAGAAGGAAGTCAAAAAGGAGATAATTGAAAAAGGAATGAAGAAGTTTTTGGAGGAAACGAGTACCTGTTCCATGGAATGCAAGGCATGGAGGGCAAGCAAGTCAGGGCGCGCCTGGGGAATTAGGGGCTCCTGCATTGATCCCTTCATCTTCATCCAGGTCCAGTGGGAGGCGGAGTTTAAACCGCGAGAAAACCCTTCCCAAACTTCCTTGAAGGCAGGGTAGATTTGCGGCGTTAACTTGCGCCGGATGGGGACATTGAAGGCTGGAGGTGTTGCAGTGGAACACTGTCCCTCCGGCTGTGGTTGTTTCTCAGTCTCTCTCTCCGTCTCTGGGAAGTTTCTGTATCCTTCTGCCCTTCAACTTCTCTGTCCATCGTAGATGAAGCTTCCAGTTCTTTCTGCACTCCAACCTCCTTCTCTATTGCAGGGGAAGCCTCCGGTTCCTTCTGTCTCTCAACTCCTTCCTTTACCCCTTGGGGAGAAGTTGCAGTTGGTGGGGAGGTATTGTTCACCTTAGGATGAGGTTGCACCGCCGGTCTTTTGAGTGGTGCTTGGTCAGGAAGTTCATCTGCCTCATCATCCAAGCTATCCGGGTTGGGTAACTCCAAACCTCCGGATGCAGCGATCGGAGTGGTATTATGGGTACCAGAAGAAGGAGTCAAGGGGCTGGGCGAAGAAGAAGTACCATCACCCCTACTCTTCTTGGGAAGAAAGTCATCATCAGTGACCCCTTCCCGTGGCCGTTTCTGGGACGGAGTGGGCTTCCACAGCCTAGGAATAGCAGAGATGTGGACAGCCTCTAGGGCAGCAGCCGGCTTGCGAATAGCCAAGGCAGTGGAGTTACCTTGGGCCTGGCTCCCGGAAGAGCTCTAGACTAGATTGGATTCCACAACACGAGGAGCCTTTGACCTTTCAGGGGAAGACACCCCTTCAACCGGAATGGGGTCAGGACCCACGGGGTAGTAAAAATCAGCCTTCTTGTACAACCGGGCGTCTTGAAGGGAGTGATGTGGAATCAAACCCCCTTCCTCTCTCAAGACATTGTATGCTTCCTCCGCCAGGGGTACTGCAGCGAACTTTGTCCGGGAAATAGAACTACGGTGTACAACACCCGGCAGATCTATGGGGCTATGAACCGGGAACTCAATAACGAAGTAGCGGTGGGACCATTTGTCGTGTTTAAACTCAACCCTTTCAAAAATTGGAGCTTGGGGATGAGGAAACAAGCTGTAATAAGGAAAAGGCCCACCAATGCTGAAAAGGACGAGGAATTCGTCTAGTGTTGGGGTTCCATCTAGGGCACAGCACCGCAAGATGTAGGACGCGACATACTTGTGCACGTTTGCAGTTAATTGGCCGGGGGCGAACCCAAAATGGCGGCAGATGTCACGAACCAAGCCATGAAGGGGTAATCTGAACCCGTTCTCCACAGAGTGATAGTGCATGACCATATACTTCTAGGGGTTTGGGTTATGAGATAAGCTGATACCCTCGACAGCATTGAGATGGTGGACCCGGAAGCCTCTGCCCAGACATTCAGCCACTTCTCGAAGTTCATCCTCTTTGATGATAGAGGGTTCGTGAGTCCAGGTTGCGGGATCTGCAGAGGAGGCCATTTCGGAGAAGAGAACGAGAATTTGAGGGCAATTGCAATCAGAATTCGAATCGGGTCAAGATTCGGCGGCGAAGGAGGAAGAAGATGAGTCCAGAAGTGGTTATATCCGTTGAAAGGAGGGACCCAAGGCACTCGAGTGCGACGTTTCTAATCCGACACGAAAACCGAAGGCGGCTCATCATTAGTTTTCTAGCAACACATCGCCAGAAAACTAGGAGGCTTGTGATGGATATCGGGTCTGATGGACCCGACTCCAGGCCCAATAAAGGCCCACAAATAGTACGAAATGGACAAGGCCAGGCACGAGTAGCGGGTTAAGCCCACTAAGACGCGTATGGCGAATAAGGAAGGACGGCCCAATCATGGGCTGAATTAAGATGACCCAGTCTGAAGAAGGAACGGGACACGTGACCCATACCACCAGATTGTGGACGAGATGGGAAGAGAACGAGACCGGAAAAGAGGGAATCACTACCCCATGATCTCCATAATCCCTCCCATTATGTAAATTTTTAATTACAATATTAGGAGTACTATAAAAGGGGAAAGAACCTGCCATTGTAGAGGGAGGGCCCAAGCAATTATACACTTAATCAAAGAATATTATTACGAGATTATATCTTTCTGATTCATATTACGTTCATGGTCCGCCATCTGATCGGGTTAGTCCCATCAAACATACTCCATCCAATGAGTATTTGTCCACTTTCATTTTTGCACACCATCCAATGCACTTCTTTAATCCATTTTATCTTGTAATTTGTATATTAAAAAATTATAAAAATTATATATGAATAATCTATATGTTAAGACGAATCAAACAAGATTACACATGATTACTTTTAGGCTTACACATTAAGAGAATTTGATGAGTCAAAATGCTTCGATAAATAGTTCCAAAAGTCAAAAGTAGACAAACACTCAGACACCGACCAAGTATTTAATATTGGAAATCAAATTCATCAAGTTTGAAATTAAACAAATTCATGATCCTAATTCATAGAAAATCAAATTGAAAAGTAAAAGTAATGTTCCCTCGAAGTGTCTTCTTCGCACGGTGCACAGAAGCCCAGAACCAGAGCCAAGCTAGTTGCTGCTCCAAAACATGGCCGCCGTCCTACCGTTGCCGCCGGACGCTGCGTAATTGCCGTCGCTGGACCTAGGGTCGGAACCCTACGCCGGGTCTTCTTTCCCTCTGCTTCGATCTGTTTCGCTCGTCTCCGGTCTCTGTCCATGTCCTCCTTTAATAGATTTAGAAGTCAGCTTCCCTTCTTGAATTAGAACTTATTTCCCCCTTGTTTGAGTTGGAGAAGGATCCTTCTTGCGCCAAGCACGAATTGTTTCCCACTTTCCCTTTTTATTTTATTTTCTTCATTATCTTTTTGTTGTTTCTCTTCATTTCCGTGAGTAAAAAAAGAAACTAAAAGGATCAACTATTTGATTTGGCCCAATTAGTATTCTTTTTTTCCATTTTGACTCCAATTTTGAACTCTATCATTTGACAGTTGTCTTCCTCAACTTTTTAGCTACCAAATTATATCTAAAAATATTCATGTAAAAGAAAATCATACCATGAGATATTTGTAGAATATAAAATGCTCAAAATCATGCATTTTATGTATAAAATGTAAGCAATAGCCTAAAATGCTAAATAGAACAAAACAAGCTTATTTGAGTATAAAATGCATATTAATTGTCTTAAAAGTACTCAGAAAGGAGGGAATAAAATATAACATTTTGTGACTCAACAAATACCCCACACTTAGGGGGTGTATTCAATTTAGATTTTAAAAGATTTTGAAAGATTTTTTAATATACATGGATTATGTAAAATTCATGGATTGTTTTAATTCTACATAGAGTTAGATAGATTGTAATGTATTTTATCGATATGATTTTAAAGGATTTTGTGTGATTTGTTAAAAAAGACTTTCCTCAAATTGAAAAGAAGATAGATCTCTTCCGTCACTGCACCAGGAGCTCGACACTTTCTGAGAAAAAGTTTCAATGGAGCTTCACCCTCTACCCACCTCACCCTCACACTATCTCTTATTTGTTCTATTTACAGAAAAAATAATAGAGTTTGTCAACAAAACCTATTAAAATGATTAAAAAAATTCATCAACACAGTTGAACAATTTATTAATAAAAGAGGAAACAATAGAAGCCATACAACCTACTTGGGCGTCATCTATAATTATTATTACTATTATTTCCAATAATAAATAAATTACTATTATTATTATTATTATTATCATTTTAATTAAACTTATTACTTTTATTACTATTATTACTATTATTATAATAGTTTTAATTCTAATTTTAATCAAATTTATATTAAATTAATAATAGTAATTTAAATTAAAATATTATTATAATATTTTTAACCAATGAAAAATAAAATAAAAATGCCAACGAAGTCAATCAAGTAATGAAAATTGCAAAAGTGGTACGCTATATGACCTATATGTCATGTGTAAGGGTGGAAACGGTACGGTTCTGGTCCGGTTCTGGTTCCAGAACCACCGAATCCGGTACCGCCAGCCCTTGGAACCAGTACCATGACCGGACCGGGCGGTACCGGTTCTAGTATCGGACCGGCTGGTTTCGGCCACCCCCAATTTTTTTGCTTTTTTTTAAAAATTTTAAAAGTGTAAAATAGTAAATTTGTAATTGTTAAAGAAAAGAATGAAATAAAAAATCTAAAAATGTAATTGTTGTTTAAATATTGTAAAATGAGTAATACACGAACTGAAGAACAACTATATTTAATATCTTGACGGTTCAAAAAAAGCGACGAGTTAAAGAACCATAAATAAACCCTCAAAGGATCTTATATATCGCTCCCCTAAAAAAACTAATTATATATTTATATTAACATAAAAATAAGTTTATAAATTATTCCTCAGAACTCGGACTTCCATCTGCGGTTGCATTCATGAAATGCTCCGAATTGAATTCGTACCCTGACTGTTGAGCTTGGCGTCTTGCCAAGAGCCAAACTTGGTTGCAAACAAGTGTTTCAAGAGATTCAACGTTAAGACAACTTCGAAAGTCGGTTAGAATGTTGCTGCTAGCACGGTATTCTCGTTCTACTGCTACGGTTGATACTAGGACGGACAACACATGTCTTGTTAGCATTCCGAGACATTGGAACATGTGTTCGTTCTGCTTCCACCATCCGAGGACGTCAAACTCCACATCATCGACGTCGTGATCGCATGACACCCCTTGGTACATAGCAAGTTCGTTGTGCAAGCTTACTATTGTACCACTTGAACTCGTCGAAGGCTAAGCACGCTTCCTTTTCTTTGCAAGAAGCTCACCGACTATTTCTTTAAAACCTTTTTTTGATTTGGGGGATGGAGGAGGTGCTGTTTCTTCTGGTACAATATCGTATAACCCTTGATATTCCTTAAAGAAATTCTCAAAAAGAGTTATATATAGCATTATCTCTTTCTTTTTTCCATTGTATTAAAAGTTTGTAGTAATAACTATTTTCATCTAAAAAACAAGTGTAGTAATAGTCAATTAGAATTTTAAAATATTCAATCTTAAAACGTGGATCATAAATAATACCTATTTTATAAATATCAGAAATGTACGAATAATAAGAAAACCATTTATCTGCCATATGAGAGACATAAGGGTATCTAGATCAGCCAAACTTTCACGAAAAGATGTTGCGATTGTAACACACTCTTTAAAAAAAGTATTTGTAGTTGGTTGGTAAACATGTGAAAAAGTAAGAGTTGCATTATTAAAAACTTCTAGTACGGCATTCAATTTTTCAACAATAACAAATTCAATAGGTGGAATGATTATACGAAGTTCATCCCTAAAAAATTCAGCAAGTTCCTCTTTGTATCTTAGAATTTGTGCTATAAACTTCTAAGTAATATTCCACCTAATGTTGATATCTTTGGCAAATGTTATTTCTTTTCTACCCTTAGACTTACAGGACCTCGAAATAAGACGACTAACCCAAATTTTTCTAATTCCATCTTTAAAATTTGTCAACCCCCCCCCCCCCATAGCTTCTAATCCCTGTTGAACACATAAATTTAAAACATGACACGCACACCGTTGATGCAGAAATCTACCGATAGTCGTAGTAGGGGACAAATTTCTCTAAGTCTAGGAATAGCAGCAGTATTATAAATAGCTTTATCAAAACCAAATGCAAAAACTTTATCAACTAAGTTGTATTCCTGCAGAATACTCTGAAGCAATAGAAAAATATTTCCAGCAGTATGAGAATCATTGAAATCACGAAATGCAAGAACACGTTTATGCATAATCCAATCACTATCTATCTAATGACAAGTAACACCCATATAAAACAAATTATGATATGTTTCACCCTAAGTATCAGAACAAATAGTAACACGAGAAATAAAATTGAGAAAAAAATTTGCCCAAATTTATTTTTTCAAGTTTATATACTGTCGAATAATTTCTTGTTTAATTGTTTTTATTGAAAAAACCTCTTGCTTGAGGGTTTAATGTCTGTTGACAATAATCAATAAATCCAAGTTTTTTAGAAAATATGTAGGGAAAATTTTCTTTACAAATTATTTCGGCCATTTTTTGCTTATTTTGCTTGTCGCTATAAGCAAAAAGGTTGTCCTTACCCCTGTTAGCAAACTGAGAAATTTGGGTTTGCACTTCTTGTCGTCCCTTCTTTTTCGCCGCGTATTTGGCGTACTCCACGGGATGCCTCGACCTTAGGTGTTTTTCCAAACCACCATAACCGCCATGGGAGTACGCCATATATCTTCCCGGCGGCGTCTCCTCCCATGGCGTACTCTATTATGGAAAAAGAACTGGAACGTAATTTGAAGCATACTCCAGATTGAGAGCTTCCTATAGACCAGGACTGTAAGAATATTATGGATCAAATCATCAGGGACAACTATAACCTTTTCAGAAGATGTATAGCAAACAAAAGATTTCTAATAGATCTAAATAGGGGTGAGGTACTCAGCTACTCAGGGGAAGCCATTAGGGTCACTAGAGAAGCAATGAAGAGTTTTGAGTTCATAGATGCAGCAACATTTCAGGGTGTGATACGGTATCGTATCGGGATAGGGAAGGATTTCGAGCACCTTCGAGCTCCAAGAACAAAAGAGGCGAGAAAGAGAGAGAATAGCACGATACTTTGTTCAGCGGAATAGAAGAACGAGAGGGAAGAAGAAAAGATTAAAGTTTAGGAGAAAGTATTTCTTTATTCATTGATTCCTAATTTTATGTGTAATGGCTACATATATAGATGGTGGATCTAGAGAATCCTAACCATACAAGGTAACTAAATAAACCATAACACTAATAACCTAATATAATTATACTTCCTAATTATAATATAATTACCTAACCATAAATAATAAAACTACCTATAATAATGATAGTAATATAATAATAATGATTAATAACTAAATATAGTCCTGTATCACTCTTCCCGCCTCGAAAACCAACTTATCCTCAAGTTGGAAATCAAATAAAGAACGGGAAAAAATTGCACCGTTTATCGTCCATCCTCCGGGGTCAAACACCTTGATCTTTGGAGCACCAAAAGAACGAGTCACGCCTAAAACATTCCCAGTGTCAAGTAAATAGTTCCGGGCAACCAAGAGTAGGAATATTATGCAATCATGTGCAACATCCTCAGAATCATAAAGGACAACGTCACTTTCTGACGTCCCAAATGTTTTCGTGCATCCATAAAAGATGACACCATCACTTAAATATTTTTCTTGGACTGTGTGGGGTGGTTGATCGTCACCAGAAACATCAACAACAATATCAGCAACGGGAATAGGAACAACATCTATGGGATCAATAATAAGATCACCATCGGGAACACCAACAGGATCAATAAAAAGTTCCTTTTCAAATTCCTGGTCCTGCAAATTTGTGTTCTGCACAGGTACTGTAGGGGCCGGACCTTGTGGAGTGTTGATGAGTTTCCTTATAGAGTGCATCATGGTTGTTTTGAAGATATATAACTCTATAGGAATCAGGCTCGGCATAATTGGGAGACCACGAACTAAATCTTGTATAGAACAAAAGGCCTCTACGGCGAACGCATATACCTCGGAATCATATTTTGGTTGATCTTCAATTTGACGGAATGCCTGAAGTTTCTTTATAATCTCATCCACGGAATCTTCAACTGCACCTACTCCTTCATAAAATTCAATTTGTCCCCGTAAAACTTTTTCGAGTAAACCAAGAACTTTGTCCAATTGTGAATCCATTACCAAAATAAATACCACCACACAAAAATATCACTCAAAAATACCTCAAGGCTTGCCGCAATAGTACCAATCCAAAATTGGAAAACAAAATGGATGGTAATACCTGTAATTTTGTAAGATGAATTTAGTGGGGTAATTTCATCAACAGTGTGCGCCTGTACTGCTATGTCTTTTGATTTTTTTATGTTGAATTCTACCCCGGAGGAAATCACCAAAATCAAAAGAGTCAATCTCGAGATTGGTAGGCGGCGCTTGTCTGGCTGTGCGACAATATGCCTTCACGGCTTTAGTTGGCGACAACTGAAATTCTTTTTTCTTTCTTTTTTTTTGTTTCCACAACTGCAAATTTGCAATTCTTGTTTCGTTGGAAGGATCAGGAATGGCGGGTTTGAAATTGGATTTTGTGGCCGAAACCTTTTTTTTTGTAATTTTTTTGGGTGAGTTCAAGAATGAAAGCACCAATTGATACGGTATCGTATCGGGATAGGGAAGGATTTCGAGCACCTTCGAGCTCCAAGAACAAAAGAGGCGAGAAAGAGAGAGAATCGCACGATACTTTGTTCGGTGGAATAGAAGAACGAGAGGGAAGAAGAAACGATTAAAGTTTAGAAGAAAGTATTTCTTTATTCATTGATTCCTAATTTTATGAGTAATGGCTGTTAAAATAATAGACCAACGCTAGAGGGGGGTGAATAGCGTTTGATCAAAATATCGCAGGAATAAAAAATGAATAAACGAGAAGTAAAGAGAAGAGTAAGAGGCACACCGATTTTACCCTATTGTTGGAAAACATTTTTTCACTTTGACATTTTGCTAATGACAATGTTTGTTTCCGTTTAGGTTTTGATATTGACAAACCGTCGGGAACATGGAACAAAATGAAAAGATAGAAAAGTTCTTTGAAGAAACAAAAAGCACAAGAACGGCATTGACGTTGCTAAAGATGACGACATTGGCGCTTTGAAGACGTATTCTAAAGACTTAGGTTTTATTGTAACAAGCTCATTCAATTTCTCTACGTCATGGCTCAAAACAAAATATGTTTTTCATGCATCAAATTAGTGTTTTCATAAATGGTTTTTAAGTTTCCAAAACACATGGTTCTTGCTTAACCAAAACCATAACCATCGGTTATCGGCGTTCGGCTATGGCGTTCGGTTTTCGGCATTGGTTATTGGCATTGATTTTAACCAAATGGTTTTTGGGTTTTTATCCTTGGTTTAAGCTTCTGGACACATTAAAAGGTTTTCCAAATCATTAGTTTTCAAAACCATAATCTTTGTTTTTCGGCGTTGGTTATCGGCATTCGGTGCCGGTTATCGGTATTGGTTTTTGGTGCCCAAATCAATCAAGTGGTTTTTAAGATTTTATGATTGGTTTTTACTTCTGGGCATATCCAAATAGTTCTCCAACAAAAACATGTTAAAACCCACCTTTCGTTTTTGGTCTTTTGGTGAAAACCATGTAGAACGGCATAAAGTTGGCTAGCCGTGGTTTTTACCTTAATGAAGTGGTTTTTAAGTTTTTATACTTGGTTTCTACCTAAAATACATTATATAAGAGTTTCCAACACTTTGTTTTCATTTTGGAGAACTTTGGTTTTTGACATCAGTTTTCGGCGTTGGCTGCCAAACCATGGTTCTGGCAAACCATCCCGACATGCATGTCGGAAATCCCAACAGAGCTGTTGGCCTTCAGAAGCCCTGGGCAGTAAGTTTTTGAACAGCGATGTTCATGGTTGAACAGCGATGTTTTCAAATGACCGTTGGGCTATTTAAGACAAAATCTTTCCATTTTTGAAAGTCAAACACCCCAACAACGATGTAGACTTCTAGACATCGATGTTTTAGTGTCCGTTAGCCATTTTTAAAGGAAAGTCAAAGCCAGAACAGCGATGTTCACCTTAAGAACAGCGCTGTCGGGCTAGATTTCAGCAGATCCACTTTTATTTGATTTCCACAAATCAAGCCAATCAACCCCAATCTTTTCCCAACCGTTGCACCTTGTTTTTGGGTATAAAAAGGGGTCTCTTGGGTCTACTTTTAACATCCATTCCTCACACATTTCATAGCTTTACATTGCATCATTCCATAAACTTTTTACATAGCTTTTTAGAGCCATTTCTTGAGGAATTGAGTGTGTTCTTGATCTAAATTAGTTTACTCATATTCTACTCTTTAAGAGAGTTTTTGTTCTTGAGTGGTTAAGTGTTGTGAACACTTTAAGGGAGGTTTGTTCCCTTGGTTGTACGAAGGAAGGGCATATTCCTTCGAGTTGAAGTCTTGGAGTGCTGTATCTCCGAGCAAGTGTATTGAGGCTCGTGGGACTCGAGTTCTCAGGTTGTAATGGTTTGTTAAGCACCCGTAAGCTTAACGGAAGTAGTGTAGCTCGAGAGAGTCTCTCGGGAGACTGGACTAGCCACACGTTGTGGTGAACCAGTATAAATCTTGGTGTGCTCTCTTTACGCTCTTTACTTTTTACGTTCTTTATTTTATCCCTGCGATTTTTATTCCGCGAATATTTATAAACATTCTCGTGCCTCACTATTCACCCCCCCTCTAGTGAAGGGCACCTATTCTAACAATTGGTATCAGAGCCTAACTCTCTAAAAGCCTTAACGGGTTGAGAGAACGATCTATATTTCTTTTGAGAATGTTAAGCGCAGGATCTTTTAGCGAAGGACACTCTTTAACAAAGCCACCACTCTTTAATGAAGTAAATTACTCTTATTGGAAAGATAGAATGAGAATCTTCATTCAATCCGTTGATTACACACTATGGATGGCAATCAACAGCGGAGTTTCTCTCCCAACGAAGAAGGTGGGCAAGAAAAAAGTAAAGAAACTCGAGGAGGAATACAATGAAGAAGATATCAAGAAGGTGGAACAAGATGCAAAAGCTCTTAACCTTCTACTTTGTGCAATTGACGCGCAAGAAATTCAAAAGTTCTCCGGATATCAAACGGCTAAGAATCTATGGGATGGCATGCGTGAGAAATATGAAACTCTACAAGGAGAAAAAGAAGTAACCCATATTTGTCTCATGGCCAATGAAGAAGAAGAGGTAAGTACTTCTAACTCTCATTCTTTTAAAGAATTGCAAGAAGCTTTTAAAGAACTATTTGGTGAATTCAAGAAAGCTTCCAAAATTGCCAAAGAGGCTAAGGCTAAACTTCATGCTTTAGAAGAAGAAAATAATTTTTTAGAAAATGATAATCTTGACCTTAAAAATAAGATTAAGGCAATGAATGAAGCTTCTTCCTTTGACCAAAGTTCAACTTGTTCCTCTTGTGAATCTTTAAAAATAGAGAATGTAGAACTTAAGAGCCCCATAGAAAAACTTAAGGTAGAAGAGCCTAAGAAACTTGGTGAAGAAGTTAATAATGATAAACCACCTAGAAGAACAAATAATCCTAGGAAAAACAAAATTAATTTTAGGAAGAATAAAAATAATAAGTTGAGACAACCTAGAAATGACTCTAAGACTTTTATAAATGATAGAAATAATTTGAGGCAACCTAGAAATGAGTCTAGGAACTTAATTAATAATTCTAGGAATAATGACTTTAGATCACCTAGAAATTTTTTGGCTCAACCTAGGCATATGCATAACCCAAATGTAACTTGTCATTATTGCTCTAAGATAGGACACATAGCACCCGTTTGTTTTACCAAACATAGGGATTTGTTTTATAGCTATGATTATTATTTTCCTAACCCTCAAGGACCCAAAAGTTTTTGGGTACCTAAAAATTATTAGATGCATATGTAGGTGTGTTTGAAGACTACATTTTTGTAGTGGATGCTCCAAGCACGAAACCTAATAATTTGCATCAAGGGGAGTTTGGGGGGAATTGTTTTTGCTATAAACATGGTATCAGTTTCAGGGGGAACATACAACAATGATGTTTTGTATCAAACATCAATGCTCAGG